TCGATCGAAAAATATTAAAATGCAATGCTATTGAAATGCATACATAAATAACTACTTACAAGTTTTTATAGTTCATCGTTGAAAATTTTGTCGGACTTCATTTCTGTTTTTACACTTTATCATTAATATATATATTATTTGAGCGTAGACCTTACATATCATCAAATTCACAAGGCCCGTAGAAATGGTTTTAAAAGTCGAAATGGGGATTTTCCACAAAAAAATTGACAATCAAATGTGCATCTACATTCATGCAAGTAGTACATGTAAAATAAAAGCTTTCAATACAAAAATGTTTGTTTTTTCAGAGTACAAAAACATGCGAAATATATTGGACATCCTACAATTAATCAAACAAGGTTGATAATAACGGACAAGGTTCCCATTGAATATATATTGTAAATATAGTATGATTTTTCACAATTACGTCGGCAAGGAATGTATGAGCAAATGGAAATATTAATCAATTGATATATCTAATACATTTGAAATCGCTCTCTTAACAAATTATTTTTTATACTGATTTTAGTTCTGTTGGGAGGAAATCAAGGTCTCCAAGGTATATTTGCCCTGAGATAGGGGTTTTTGTCTGATGTAATTTCATTTGAAATGTGTTTTGCTTGCCCTCTGATTGTGACTATCTGCCGTATTTCGTTCATTGATTTAATAGCGGTGAAAAAAAATACAATCTAACAAGACGAGGAGCAATAGAAAAATTCTGACCCCGGCTAAACGCCCACCTCCACGGCAATTAAAATCGTTGATTCGTGCTTAAAAGAAATTAAATCTGCATTGGTTATTTGAACAGACAGAATGTATTAAATTACATGGGAACATATAAACATGCAAAAGGTCCATGTCGTTTATTGCAGAAATACGAGTCATTATTAAATATTTACATCCGCTGAATATTTTCTCCTTTATTTCTTAAGAAAACCCATTGCGTTAATCACTTCATGAACTACAGTCGACATGTCGTCTGTACTGAGTTCTTGATCAGTGGCTGTTCCATTAATAAAACGTTTAAAGACGTTCGTATCATTTATACAATAATTTATCTTTTTAATCCAACATTAAATGATTGTTCAAACAGATGTACTCTTCAAAAATAGAAACGCACATTAGAATTTTAGTGACACATTGAACATAAAGATTATTTAGAAAAATGATGCATTGATAAAACAGATATGTGGAAAGCAACAGGAATACTATCTAAATGTCAAAATTACTCAACAATTTTAAAATTTTAGTCAGTTTAAGACCATTAAGGATGAATATCTGGTATGCCCCCCGCAGACACAAATGATAACCACAAACGGCATCAAATTGAAGCAAATGTGTTTTATAAAAACTGTATAGGAATACTCTCCAAACTTAGAACTTTGGCCAGCTGTTGTGGAGTCTGGGGATGCGATTGTTTTTGGAAAATCATGTCAATCCATTTTGTCCAATGCTGCTTAATTTGGATTAAATCTAGCAATTAAGATGACTGCGGCTGAAACAGATTGTAGGTGTGTCAAACGAGCCATATGTGGCTGTGAATTGTGAGATTGCAATACGGCTCTAGGATGCTGCAAAATTGAATGGGTATATGTAGGAAGAACATGGTTAGAGTACCTTCTTCCATCAAAGTCCATTAAATTCGAACCAAATCAATCTTACTTTCTTATAATACCGTTTTCCATATCATTACACTACCACCACCAACTTTTTTAACGTCCTGGAGGCAGTTATCTGTCTAACATTCATTACAGAGCATAAGCACTCTGAAACTTATAAGAGGCTTTCAGATAAACATTCTGGACTAGTAGGTTAACCAAAATGTTCAGCAGTGATGTTGTGGTCATACTCTATTGATCTGATATCTTTGAAGTCGACATTTTGGGTGTTGTGGAGTCGGAACAATAGCATGAATAATTCTCTTGCAATAATTCTTAGACAACTGAAAACGGTCTTGTTAGATAATCTGTGCAGTTTAGGGATAGTTGATATATAGCTTTATATGACGGCCTTGCCTTGCATTCATGCAATTTACGTAATCCTCGGAAGTGATGCTGTGCTGCTGATGTCACATGTAGTCTACCATATTTTTTGCGAACATTGTGTGTTCGTTGTTAATGGTTTATGTTTTATAGGTTAGATATGTTCTGTGCGTAACATTAAAACATCTTGCAATTGTGATTGCGGTACCCCTGCTTCCAGTCGCCCATTTTCCTTTGTATGCTACGCAACATTCAGATGTAGAATGTTTAGGAAGCGTCATTTTTCAGAAAAAATAAGATTCAAAATATCGAGAACCCCCATTTTTGATGGCCCCTTTGTACCTAAAGGAATTGCATCGGAATTCAACAAATGAAAATTGAAATCAAAATTTTGGGGGAAATTTTGCAAAATCGGGTCTTTATGTCTGTGAAACTTGTAGAATAGCTGTAAAGCTAACAATTGTTTTAAAAAGTCATGCATTTCACTCAAATACATCGTATCCAAACAAAAATATAAGGTATGACAAAACAATCATTTTCAGGGAATCGTTCCTACTATGCGTTTCTTTTTTTTTGAATAGTATATAAATATAAGCAAAAAATGTCTTTCTTTGTTTGTTATTGCTTGAATTAACGGTCGCAGCTATTGCAAAAAAAAAAAATTACATACCCCGATTTTGCAGGTTATGTATTTTTTTCTGCAATAGATGATTCCGTTTATTCCAGAAATAACAAACAAAGAAATAATTGTATTGTTTTATCAATGCACACACAGTCTTTCCCGGTAATTGCCACTGGCGATTTTATGTACTGACTACATTGAAGGATCAGCAGTTTTTCCTAGTCTCATTGTTTTTTTTTTTTTTTTTTTTTTTTTTTTTTTTTTTTTTTATGTGACATAAATAAAGTAGACCCTCAAACAACTTACGGAAATTTCGTGATCAAAAGAGTGAATATAAATTATTCCGTAGTGAAGATAAACAAATAATTTCCCGATGGAACTTTGATTGTTTGTAGAGGGCAGATAAGAATAGAAAATGTTGATAAATTATTTAATGCTAAAAATTCAGAATAAATTGCTTTCAATTTTAAGTTGAAGACCATGATAAATGTAAATAAATGGTTAAATTCGTCATCAAGTAATTACAAAAAAAATGTTTATGTTCTAGAGTTAAAATACAAGGTCGTTACAACTTTCAGTCAGAATTTCAATTAATGTAAAGCTCCAGCAACTGTCACAAAATGTTTTCAAAGACACAGATAGTAAAAACTTTATATTTTGAACATGGTCTATTTTTTCCTAGGCATGGTAACATCAACGGTGCTGCGTCATCAAGTTATACGTCATCAATTTGAATTAAGCAATCATTCATGTAGTTTTGCAGAGGAAATCTCAAAGTTTTGTTAAAATGAAAATTGTATGAGATGAATAGAACATATATAGTTGTGTGGTTTGAAATGGTGTTTATTCGCCCAGCAAGCCTCGCGATTACATACACCATTTCAACTCGTTGGATAAAGCCAATATCAAATTACACAATATAGATGTCCTCTATTTCTAATATACTAATCGAAAATATATGGTCTAAAATTGACGTCATCTCGCCTATAAAAACGTCATAATATTTCACTGATTTGGTCAAGGTAGAATATTCTGTATGCATCCTTATAACCCCTGCAGTGTAGGGGTAGAAATTCGATGAATGATTTCTTAAATGCTTCAATATAATTATACCATAGTAACGTGTATGTAATAGTTAGTATACAAATTATTTTTATCAAGCATTCATGAAATCAGGCCTGAATCTTTACGAAACAGTCATTGACAACAGTTTGCTTTGCCGAAAATGTTATCTATAGGGTTCTTAACATGTTAAAATATAACAACCAATTTTCCACTGAAAATAATTTAGGGTATCAAAGACTTATCATTGAAAGTTTGAAGACATTCTGTGACTATGCGTTCCACAGCTCCAATATAAGCTTTCAAGTCATTACAAAGAATGGTTCTTAATAAGTAAAGGATCTGTTAAAAACACCTTAACATGTTCCTGCATCAGCAAAATACAGGTCAAATCAAACAATTCTGTAGAGTGCATCCTTAATTAGATATATCATCTATGCAATTTTGTTCAATCTATGTGTTATAAAGTTGCCTGACACCATCAATTATGTTTTTAACCTGCTTCAAAACTTTAACCTGGTCTACAACCATGAACTTTGATATTCTTAAGCTGAATTAACACTACATTTGTAGTATGCAACATCTGAAACCTGGGATGGTTTGAAAAATCATACTAGAGGACTTTTCCTGTATCAATAGGGTGAATAAAAATACTTGAAAATAATTCTTTATAACACGAAATTTGAACGCACATATGATGTAAACTCCACCAACTTCAATGAAATAAACAAAAATGATTTTATAACTTATTTTATTATATACAGAAACATCAATGGATTTGGTGGTAGGCATAGCCTTTTTAGCACACTCCATAGGTACAAGGTTCATTTAAATTATTTATAATACTACACAGATTGAAAGGCTAATATCATAAATAAGTTATATTTGAGAAACAGAAAATTAACTTGAAATAAGGCGGGGATAAACATTGTAAGTGATTACCTGTTCCATGTAAGAAAAATAAGGGGAAAATTATTACAATGAAAAACATCAAATTATACAAAATACAATGAATATGCATTTTATTAAAATCACACTTTCATTGTCTCTATGAAACCTCTCAGTTTGTTAAATATAATTCATGAACATAATCACACAATTTAAAACTTTTTGCATAAGAAATATTAATGTCATCAGATAACAATAGGTTAAGAGATACATGATGTTGTAGGTCTATACTATTTACATGTACAAGCTCAGGTGAGCTGAAATGAATAAATATTCTTTCTAACAATGACTCCAAACTAAACTTCAGCAACCTAATGTCTTTTATTTTGACAAAAATCAGTAAATGTAAACATAATAACAAGCATATGAAATCATTCTTGTTTGGTTGTGATTTCAATACAGTTTAAGAATTAAACAGTTTCACTTTGTGTCTGAAAATTTAAATCAGAATCATATTTTGTTTCAGGCTTTAACATTTTCATAATAAATTCTTGAACACTTGACATTGCCTCCTTCATCATTTTGTGAGGTTTTTTCGTTTTATTTATTTTCATAATAGCATCTTCTTTCTCCTTTGAAGTTAATTTTTCAAGATCATCCATATACATTTTTATAGTGAATGTTTTTAGTTTTCTGCAGATGTCCGACAAAATCAACCAAGTCTCATCGAGTTCTGTCTGAGGGTTTGAGGCTGAGCTCACGTGTACAGCCAATGAGTTTCGGATCATCCTTATTCTCTCTAAATCATCACCCACCCTTATCTCTCCTGGTGATGGCATACTGTTTCCATCCCATCTTCCTTTTCTTAACCTTTGGTTCTTCGAACCAAGGTTTCTGATCAACATGTACATTACTTGAATATCAAAACTTTTATATCCAACATTTTTAGTCTTTTTCAAGATATCTTCTTGATCTGAGAGAAATGTTTTATGAATTGATGATGTCTTCACTTCGTTATATAGAAGGAGAGACTGTAGTTGCCACTCAATCATGTCTATGTAGCCTTGGTTTACCACGATTTTAGTTGCCATTTTGCCTTTTGGAAACCTAAATCGATCAACTCTATTTTCTTTAGTTCCAGAAATGTCTGCCTTACTCTGAAACAATATCAATAATAATTTATTTATTGCATCCTATCAAACATAATGTATATATAAGGCAAATGCATAAACACTGCTTATATTATTTTAGAAAAAAAATAGTTTAAGAGAATATCTAACAGTTTGTAAAAGTAATACTAAGTTGAATTTTATTCTTATTAAAAAGACAAAACAAAATTGGCTGATAGTGGATGCTCACTCTAATGAACAACTTATTTCCGTATTGTTTGCTTCTACAGGTCCTTGTTTTTTTTTCTTATTCAAATTTTGTTTTGTTAACAGGGTTTATAAAATCGCACATGTTTAGCGATCTTAGTCCTTTACAACAGAAAAGAGAGGGCTGTGAGTAATTAGAGAAGGTCTGTAGAAAATCTCGATACAATAAAAGCATCACCTTGAAACTACTGAGATGAAGACATTGCAAAGTGCTCTGCAAGGTCTTCTAAATGTCAATACTTATAACTGTCAGTTATTCATATATTAAAAAAAAAAATTCTTAAAGCTTTTATGCATTTTAAATACATGTATATGACTAATTAACCAAAATCCGTGTACCTAACCGATAACCACGATGTCCTAATTGTAGTACAGAGGTGGGTGTCACCTTAAAAAACCACTTATGTTTTTAGAATATATATACTTCAGTCTGGAACCTGGAACAAGGGGGTTATGATTTCATGTGTTTTGTAAAGAAGAAATTGCTCATGTAATTATATGACCAGTCAATCAAGTGTCTCTAACAAAAAAAGATACTCAATGATTTAATTACTACATAATATAAAAAAACCCTTTCCTTTCCCTTCACTCAAGTACTTGGAGAATATGTCCATGTATCCCATAATAATATCTTTATTTTGGATTATTTATTTATTTAATAATATTTTTATATTTATCATGAAGCGCTTACGCGCTTCATGAATTATGCCGTTGTGAAGCATCGTAGTTCATTATCTCATGCATCTTCAAACATTAAATTCATTTCTTAAATAGACCTTGATCATAACAAGCATGAAAAAGATGTTTAAGTGGAACACTGATGCCCCTGTAAAGCAGCATTGCAATAATAAACTTTTATTTAAATGCAAATTAAAAATATCAGTACCCAAAATAGGGTCTTCTAACGATAAATATAATTGTGAAATATGAAAGCGCAAGCACTACCTAGTCTAAAGTTGGCAAAGGATATAGGATAAGCTTTTGAAATGTATAGGTCAAACTCCAGGGTCAAGGTCAAGAGTCAATATTGTTGGTTTTGGTAGAAAGGTCTTGTCGTAGTTTTACGTATGTGAAATATTTGAGTTTTAATCACAACAGTTCAAAAGATATGACCAAGGTAATTTTTTTTAAAAAGGTCAAACTCCAAGATCAAAGTCAAAGTTCTTGATATCCAATAAAGGTCTTGTCACAAGGATTAAATATGTGAAGTATGAAAATCTAACCCCTAGCTTTTTAAATTTTATAATTTTGAGTCCAAGTCCAAGATCAAAGTGTCAAAGGTACTTCTGTTCAATGAATGGACACTTCACAAGGTTTACACATGTGAAGTTTAAACATCCTTACCCTTACCGTTCAAAAGTTAAAGCCAATGTTAAAGTTTTTCATAAGTTCAGAATCTCCTAGTCCTAGGTCTAGGTCAAAAAATCAATGTTCTTGGAATCCAATAAAAGGTCAGGCAACAAAATTACAATTGTGAAATCTGAAAGTGATAGTATCTATTATTCAGAAGTTATGGCCAAAGTAAAGATATTAAATTTGTAAGAATATTTCAATAAGTTCAAGGTTAATAGCACAAATATGGTGGTACCTAAAGAAATCTCCTGTCAAAAGGAATGCCCATGTGAAATGTGAAAGTCATACTTCCACTAAATCAAAATTTATGGGCAAGGTTAATGATTTTTTTGTGGACAAACAGACAATTAGACAGCTAGACACACGAATGGACACGACACACACTATATAACCCCGAATCTCTGATTACGGGTCATAAAATGATAGGGAGGCAATGTGATTCCTATTTTCCCTTATAATAAATAAATCTTATTGGTGGGGGAACAAATTATGTGGATACGGAACAATTACCTTTTCCCAGAAACCCAGATTTCTGTTTACACTTATCAAACGTTTTTTCTGAAGTTGAGAATAGGACTGCAGTTCTTCAGCGTTGATTTTGGACAGCTCACTTTCAAGAATTAAAGATAGTTCTTTATTCCCAAAAAAATTGGATTTCCTTTGGAATAATTTTGCGTCAATAAATGGATCTGAAAAGGTTTCTTTATAATATATCACGGAATTAGCAATTTCATTCGCTACTTCGTTATATACGTGCAACTGTGTGTCCTTTTTACATATGAGAGCCACAACAGTGTGTTCTTTGTTGCTGTTTGTTTGATAGACACACGGACACCCTTCTTTATCTGTGTTTATTGAAACACCCCATCTAAGCACAGAATGGAGGAGAATTCGAGCGTTTCCCCGCGTTTCCTCGCACAAGTTGGCTTTAAACTGTTTTTTGTTCATACCTGGGACATACCGAAACATGCAATGTTCCGATCCAATCTCAAAAGATGCAAGCATCCGAAACGCTTCTATGTGAGGCACAATTTTCTTTTTATGTTTCTGGTATGAACGTTCATCTTTCCATAGACCGTCTATCAATATGTCATGAAGTTCCCCTGTTTTGTTAAAAGACTTCCATGCTCTTAATAATCCCCCTTTACAATCTTTCTTGATGTGATTTTCAGCAGCAATGTCCAGTACTACATGTTCCCTCAATTTCCTTTCTTTAAACTCCAAACGAATTCCAATATCATGGAAGCATTCCAAAAACGTATACATTTCTACGTCACGTTTAAATTGGTTCGACAAATTCATCCACGCTGAATCAAGCAATAACCTTTTCACAAAATCCAACAGAAAACGCAATACTATTTTTGAATTGTTTTCGTCAGAAAACGGTTCCGATTTAGACTTTCTCATTGCCTCCAGTATTATCATTGATTCACAATCAGGTTCCACCAGACACAGTGCATTTTCCCGATAATTCACAAACTTATTTAGCCAATATCTGTCCGAAAACTCCTTTCCTATTTCCTGAAGAGAAAAACAAAAAAAATGTGTATTTAATAGAAAACTGAATGTGAAGATGTGCTTTATGAAAGCCCATTTAGGACTTATCAAAAATATTTTTGAATTTCTTATAACAATGTTTAGAATTCTTTTTAACGAATTTAATTTGTTATAACAGATCCATTGGATTCGTTTTTATTAATTTGATTTGTTATAAAATATTCATTGAATTAGTTATAACGAATTTAATTTGTTATTACAGATTTATTAATTTATCATAACGAATTATATCTGTTATTACAGATTTGTTGAATTCGTTATAACACATTTAATCTGTTATGACAGATTACTTGAATTCGTTATAACAAATTTAATCTGTTATTACAGATTTGTTGAATTCGTTATAACCAAATTCTTGAATTGGTTATAACGAATTCAACAAATATGTAATAACTACGGAAACGTATAACCGCCTCGTGTTTTTGTATTAGAACAAGGTATTATGATAAAAAATGTTGTCAAATACAATTGGTTCAAGGTTTGGCGATTTAAATATTACAACAATCTCTTGATGAATAATACTTTTCTGATATATTTTAGACACTTTGATATATCCAAATTGAATTCTTAATTGTCTCACTTAAATAATGCCTAAAAAGTATGTTTCTAAAATTAAATATCGAAGAAATTATTGCAATACAACATATATGAAGATTTCGCTAAGACAACTCGATTTAATCAAAAAGCAAAATTCACCAAAATAAGAACGTCTTGTAACATCAGATTTTTTAATAATAACTATTGTATGAAATGGATGAGTTGGTGCTTTTTAAGGACCCTGGCCATTCTTTGAAAACCGTAGCTACGGGCCTGATTTCCATTCTCCGAAATTGATTTAATTTAAAAAAAATCTAAAATTTAACACTGTCACAATGATTTAATTTTTCTCAAAATAAATTAAAAATAAATTAGCAGTTTTTACAGTGTTATAATTGTTTATATATATTGTTTATATATCTGCTTTTTAAATGTACTCAAAAAACAACTTCACAATGTATGTTTGTATAAATTATAACATAAATCTTAATTTATCAAATAAATGAAAGCACGATTTTTTTTTTGGGGGGGGGGGGGTTGCGCCGGGGACATTGCTATCTATGAGCTTGTGTGCTATCTTTAGAAAGAAGAGGACAAAATGCAAATCGTTTCGTTCATTTCATCAATCTACACATCAAGTTAAAAGAAAATACATAGGAGTATATGGAGACGTACGCTCGATTTTTTCTAATCGAATTATCAAAGAAAATATACAACTTTCTCTTTTTGAATTTTTAATAGTTTGAGGTCATACTTAATAATGCATGACATCACATCAGACGAAAATATTTCATGCATATATTTCTGCGCATGTTCTCCAAGCTAAGAGCATGATTAAAGATTTCGTTATCATAGTTTGAATAGTAAAAGTATTACCAAAAATAATGACTGTCCTTTGAAGCAACATTCATGAGATTTATTATTTAGGGAAGGGCCTACAAGGATACTATAACTATTTGAATTTATTTATTAAATCAGACATTAATTCAGTGTAATACGTTTTATTAAGGATGAATTCATTTTCTCCTTGTATGTCCTCATCGTACTGTACAAAGACTTGATCTTATAAATATACGTATACTAAATGTAAAAATACTCAGTCTTTATCTTATGATAATCAATTTTATTGGCTTATGACTAATGAAGACTCTGGCATCCTTAGATCACTTGTTAGTATAATGTACTTTTTTCCCAGTTTCTTGTCTTTAACTATGATTTTATTATAACATATACAGTAATTCATGAATTGTCTTCGTTTCTAAGGCTCATTATATAAATTTCATTTTAGAAGAACTTGGATTTAATTCTACAAGTGGTAATCCTACTTACGCATATACTACTCTTTCTAAGGAAGAAATTCTTCAAAATCACCTGTGTAACAAACTAAATTTAATCCAGTAGGATACCCCTAGTGCGTTAGTGTAAATATTGTTATTTATCCTGTGGGGAGCCCCTCGATGTGTAATTTTATCTACCTGAGAGCTCGTGTTCGGGTAGTACCCGGGAAGTCACAGCCGAGATAAGACCTGTTTGGCTTGTTGTTATGATGAAGTAGCCTGGGCGGGTACTCAAACTACATCAGGTATTTGAAAATACAATTTGTAAAATATGGTTTCTTGTGTGAGTCTGCACGTTTAGTATGGTTGTTTTATTATATTTTTCCCCAGGGTCCTATTTCCTCGGGCTTTTGTCCCGTTTCGTAATTATCAGGTCTTGGGCGGGGTACTACAGCTAATTACATTGACAATAGCCAGTCGGCAGTCCAGGGAGCCAGGGAGAGGCTTGCAATGGGTAATGGTTTTGCAGTAACAGCGGCAATTGTGTGAGAGAGTACGAAAGAGTACGGCAGCCCTGACGGACACATCCGAACCAGCAATTTCAAGTTATGTGTTATAATGAAATCTCCTGTTTAAAATAATATAAATTCAAACCAAAGTTAATCTAGACGGCGTTGTGAAAGTTGATTATGTGATATATGTGATACTTGTGAAAGTTATAATATTCAATTTAATTTGTGAAAGAAAACCCGTTTATCAGAGGAAATTCAAAAACCGGAACTCAAACCTCCAGCAAGGGTGTGGTGATTAATTGACTACGTCTTAAAGAACATTCTTCCAGGACTGACGTGCTGCTGATAGACAATTCATTTCTATATTCTTTAATTTGTTTCTTTTGTTGTACAATTTACTTTTGTTTTGTTTATTAAATTTTGTTAAAATTTCATTTTGTTTTGTTTCCTTCATTTATTCAAGTTCTTAAAGTGTATAACCCACATCTCAACAACCTGTCAGTTTTAAATACTTCTAATATTCCACAGAGCCAAAATGAATTTGAACTACCTTATATATATTGGATTACGAAACTTCATAAGAATCCTTACAAACAAAGATACATTGCAGGTTCAAGTAAATGTTCAACCAAGCCTCTTTCGTTACTTCTCACTAAAATATTGACAGTAGTGAAGGAAAAACTTTAAGAGTACTGTACAACTATATATTCAAGAAGTGGTGTAAATCAGATGTGGATACTTAAAAATTCTAAAGAACTTTTGGAAAATTTGAAATCACAAGACTTTACAAGAATCAACAGCATTAAAACTTACGACTTTTCAACTTTATACACAACAATTCCGCACGACAAATTAAAATCCAGGCTTTTTGATATCATTGACAGCTGCTTCTTAAACAAAAATGGAACTCGTAAGTTTACCTACCTGGTTATTGGTCATTTGAAAAATTATTTTGTTAAAACAGATTCTGATTGCACACATAAGTACTCTGAAGTTGACATCAAGAATATGCTTGAGTTTCTGATTGACAATATATATGTGGTTTTTGGAGACCAGGTATTCCAACAATCTATTGGAATTCCCATAGGTACAAATTGCGCTCCGTTATTAGCATACTTATTTTTATATTCATATGAAGCAGAATTTATGCAAAATCTTTTACGTGAAAAGAAAAAAAACATTTGCTGTGGCCTTCAACTCGACATTTAGATATATCGACGACGTATTGTCAATTAATAATGACAATTTCCATTCCTACGTCGACACGATATATCCTGGTGAGCTTGAGATAAAAGATACTACAGAGTCCGACACTCCTGCCTCATACTTGGATATTTAACTTGAAAAAGACACTAATGGTAATATAACAACCAAGCTATATAATAAACGTGATGACTTTAACTTTTCTATCGTCAACTTCCCTTACTTATGCAGCAATATACCTTCATCACCTGCATACGGAGTATTTATATCTCAGTTGATTCGATACGCAAGAGCATGCTCTACGTATGAACAATTTCTAAAACGAGGTAAATTATTGACAAGCAAGTTGATGAAACAAGAATATCAACAGTCTCGTTTAAAGTCATCATTTCGTAAATTCTATGGTCGATACAATGACCTTGTCAGCAAATACAATTTATCATTGAATGAAATGCTGACTGACGTTTTTCATACCAATTGTAAGTCCATTATTTATACACTGAATTGACCACGGATTTTTTCCCGTTATTTCCTGATTATGACAACGAGCACACGGCGGGTGTGACCGGTCGGCAGGGGATGCTCACTCCTCCATGGCACCTGATCCCACCTCTGATGTTTTGGAGGTCCGTGTTTGCTCTGCTCTTATTTTGTATATTTGTTTAATGGACGTTGAGATTGAATACTGTTCGTTATTTCTATATCCTTTTCTCATTATCATGAATGCTCAATAAATTGGATCCTTCTCCTTCTTTTGTTTGTAAATCTTTTTTACTCTCTTTCAGGGGCCCAAATTGGACTGACAAAATCTTGTATCTTGTTTAAATCTTATTTTACATGTCGTTCAAAATTTGTTGAGTTTTGTTCTT